ATTAATAACTATTATAATAAATATAAAATATTCTAAAATGTAGTGATTCTGATTGTGTTTAGGCCAGCAAAGAAGGCTTTGCTGGCCCTGACGGCGCAACACTGACTGACCTCATTCTTTGAGCACAAACTGTTGCTAAACCTAGACCTGACCACCTGCGGCAGCCCAACATCACAGACCTTAGTTAAAACTAAGTGTCCACCTTTTTTTATGACCAGACAGTGCATAAATTGAACTGAAGCAAGTCCTTTTGGAGAAAACTACACCAACGTAAGCGGCAAGTATAAACGTCCTCACCGCTTGCGAGGGTGTGTGCGCCATCAGGTGAACCCTGCCCGACTCTCAAAAACACACCTATGACCGAGTGTTTAACATCTTCCACTTGAGGCAGAGACTCCCTCCAACTGATAAAAGGAATTCTATCCTTTTCTGGTCAAAGACGATTTTACATATTGAGGTCAAACTCATTCTAACAAAATAACTTCTGCTGCCCTTGGGTTAAAATGTACGACAGAGTATTAAGGCCACACAACGAGATTTTTTTTTAATTACAAGAATAAAGTCATAATATTACGGCATTAAAGTCGTACAAAAATAAAGTCGTAATATTACGAGATTAAAGTCGTAATATTACGAGTTTAAAGTCAATATTATGAGAAAAAAGTCATAATATTGTAGCCTTTACACGAAAAAACGTGCAGTTACTGCATTAAAATGAGGAATGTTGAGCATCTTGTCAAACTGTTCTTTAGTATTGCTTAAAAATAAATAGTTAATCTTTTAGCACATTAGTATCAAATTATCAGTAGCAGGACTTGGAAATTGTGCAAACGACTATAAACTGAAGCTGTATTGTAATTAATGAATGCATTGACGGATTTAGTCGTCACGTAGTTAATTTGGATGAAAGCATATTAATCTAACAGTAGCTACCTGAGTCATCATGGACTACTTTATAAACACAGAGACATGTCTGTACAGCAGGTGTGAGGAAAAAATGGAGGAAATGAGGAACGGGAAATAGACACGTCATGATTATGACTTTAATCTCGTAATATTATGACTTTAATCTCGTAAAATTATGACTTTAATCTCGTAATAATACAACTTTAATCTCGTAATATTATGACTTCAATCTTGTAATATTATGACTTCAATCTCGTAATATTATGACTTTATTCTCGTAAAATTATGACTAATCTCATAATAATACGACTTTAATCTTGTAAAATTATGACTTTAATCTCGTAATATTGACTTTAATCTCGTAATATTGTGACTTTAATCTCGTAATATTGTGACTTTAATCTCGTAATATTGTGACTTTA